AAGCCGGACTCAAATGATTCTTGAAGTGAAGAAAGGGTAATAAAAAAAACATAGGTCATCGAGCAACCTTACCGGAAAGTTAGATAAATAGGTTTTAAAATAGAAACTTATGTATCACGGGCTAGGTCCCGAACATTTGTATTTATTTTTCGCATGTATTAATAAAATATTTTTCTTGGCAAAAGTGATCTGCGTTCCAAATTGGAACGGACACGTGATTCTTTTTATTGGTTATGAAGACCGTGACATTTGATCAAGTTACTGTCCGAAAAAGATGAAGCTTTGCATGGTCGCCGTTCAGATTGTCTTCATTATCTAAAGCAAACATGAGTACAATACGGATAATAATATATGGGGGTAATAACAGATGAAAGGTAAAGTCATTGAGTAATCTCGTGGAGGAATAGATAGGCGGATAGATGTAGTAATGTAATAACTTCATGTGCGTCTTGACATGAGATAAGCGTTCAGGTATATCATGGATGCGTTTAAATTTTGACCTGAATACTCATGTGATTTTCGATCGTGAAGATTCTTCACAGTTGCACCTATGATGTAATAATGCATGGAAAAGCTTTGATCATAGAGCGGAGTCACATAGTCAAAGTCAGTGAAATATTTAGTAAGTAGCTTTATTTAGCATAGGATTATGATGTACTACGGGTAAAGTCCCAAGCTTTGTATTTATTTTTACTTGCTCACCACTGTACATGTAGTGATGTATGGTGAATAAAAAAAAAGCGAGACCTAAAGTCCCACTTGGATAAAATAAATCGCGTCCTATATGAAAGTCAATAAATAAATGCGCAGTAACGTTAGACATCGTATCCTGGGAACAAGTAATTGCATGTAATTTATTTCTCGTATAGGCGAAAATTTTGTAAATATAAATAGGGTGAGAATCTCGTAGTTAGCAATAAAAAAAATAGCACCGGAAATGTAAGAACAAAGAAATAAATATGGCCTACCTTGAAAGTATCATATATTTCTGAAAATCATTTATTAATAGATCTGGGCTTCAAAATTTTTGAAATATGCAAAGATTTTTATTTTATATTCGCTTTTTTGAATCGCAATACAATAAATAGGAAACCAAGCATAATGCTAATTTAATTGTAATATATATAACACAAAGGATGTTTTCTACATTTTCTATATTTTACAATACAACTCAATATTACTACCAATAAGCTAATCAAGTAATTGAATAACTTGATCTGTAATATAACTAAAAGTACCAGAGGACATACACTAGTCAAAAACCAATATATCGGGTAGCAGATATGTATCAGATATGTACCTGATATGTGTAGTATTTATGCAGAAAATCGGGTACCCGATATGTGTAAGATATGTGTAAATATATATATCGTCTACATATCATTTACATATCATATACATATCAGTACCCGATATGTATATGATATATATATTTACACATATCTTACACATATCGGGTACCCGATTTTCTGCATAAATACTACACATATCGGGTACATATCTGATACATATCTGCTACCCGATATATTGGTTTTTGACCAGTGATATATCGGGCGCTCATTCGTACATTTTCAAACTTTCGATCGTGAAAGAAATGAACGACATTCACACTCTCAAACTTTCCATCATTGGGTGGCCAATGGGGTTTCTTTGTTGCATCATCCTCGCATGTAAAATTTACTATCCATATGTCATTTGCTGATAGCATTTTCGCATAATTGAGCACTCTTTCAAAGTGTTCGTTAAGTTCATTTTCTGTCGCAGTTGCTAAAAGCTCAAGAACAACTGTTTGGTGTAGAGATATAATGATTATATCACTATAATAGTGTTTGTCTTTTTCGTCATTATCAGTGTGATCTATTAGATGCCACTGTCCAGTGACCTCGAAGTTACATTCTTTGACGATCCAGTTCACCAGGATTCTATTTAGTTCTGTATCGTAAACACTCTCTCGGAGAACCTTCACATTACGACAACCATCATCCACTTTCACAAGTGCAGTTTTAAATGATCGGTTGAAAGCGTTACGAATGATAGTTTTATCAAAACAACGGATGGCCTCTATTAAAGCATCAAGGACTTTCAGAGAGCCTTCATCAGTTTGGGGAACTGGAAGAGCTGGGCTAGATTTGTACAATACAGGAATAACCCGCTTCTGAATCAATTCGTTTACAAGAACAGATGACATTTTAAAGTTTTTCTTAACCTTTTCGTCCCTCATTAGCACCCCCTCAGCTACCAAGAATTCTGCTAGCTCTAACTCTCCTTCGTCATTGATCTGCACAAAATCGAAAAATCCTAGGAACACAGATCGAAGTAGGTCCACAGCAGATTTGGCTTTATTATTGGTTTTAAGAAAATTGATCATATTTCTGAAGGTAGCATAATCAAGTATCGCATCTTCAATAGAATTGGTAACAAATTTTGTCCAATTTACGAAGCTAAGCTTGTTATCTTTGCCAATTTTCTTAATTAAGTTATCAAAGATAGAACGTCCGCAAAGGCAAACAAGACCAGCATGCCTGTTAAATAACGGAATTATAAGAAAAATGAATTTTTGATTTTGATTTCACGTGAATCTTCACATACCCGCTTGTCCGAGTGTAAATGTCCTTGATGATCTCCGGGTCAATAGTGAAGTTGTATTCATCTCCAAATGCTTTATATAAGGTCTTTACTTGATCAAACGTGAAATTTGGGTTCTGGTACGGCTCATTTACATTAAAGGGCGATGTAGACGTTCTTTCTGATTTTAGATGTAGAATACTGAAGGTGCCAATGGCGACAATAGACTGTATAGCATAGTTATATTTTGAGTTTTTAATGCCATGAAAAGTTTCCAGGCACGAGGTTATGACAGCTTGATCCGCTTCATACAGTTTATCAAATTCATCAATGAAGAGAACAACGTTAAGATTACGACAATTGTCTTTACCAAATGCTCCAATAAAATCTCGAGCAGAATTTATATTCAAAACACTAGAAAATTTGAAATCATCGGTATCAATGTTGGGTTTAACATCTCGCACGAGAGCAGAGCCTAATGTCGTCCAGAACAATTCTGAAGTTTCCATCGTAACATGCTCAAAAGTTACACTATCCCAAAGAAAAAAGAAATAAAAGTAACAGTTAAACTGCATGAAATGTGACCAGTTAGCTTAAAAGAGAATCAGAACTTACTAAATGCAATTAAGACCTTCATCTTTCAACAATTCTCTAATTCGTTGCACTCGTGTAGACTTTCCAGAAACCCGTGCACCATACAACGCCACATATTCACCTTTCCAAATCATCGAAGAAAGTTCATCATTTCCCTCTGGTTCAGAATAGTAGAATAAATGACGATCATCTCGCATAAGTGCACTATTAACCGCCCATCTTCTTTTCTTTTCACTTGTTGCTGTAGAGAAACATTTGTAAGAATAATAGAATGGAATATATAGCTACGTATAGAAACAAGAACATTTCTTACTTTCTACTTCCGTATTCTTCCTTTTCCTCTCGAGCTCTAATGGTTGTAATAACAGTTAGAAAGCATATTCGATATTATTAATAAATGACGAAATATATATCATTGTTTTGACTGCAAATTTCTTGTTCGAAAGGTAAAACGTTGGGAGACACTTACTAGTGGCGGGCACTTGTACGAAGATGAGACTTTTGTCAACCGCATCTTGATCTGGAAAATATTTCTTAAAATGGGTGATAGGCACCAACTGTTCGCTATCTTTACAAATTTGTTCTTCAGTAAGATCTTTAAGCTTATCACCGAAAGCGATGTCAGCCTTCCAAAGGTTTAGGTCATTATAGTCATCATTATTAATATATTTTTTTATCTCATCATAGATGAGATACTTTAGGCCTGAAATTTTGAGTTGATCAAATAATACTTCAATTCCATTAATATTGTTTTTATCACAAATGCGAACCGTAAAAGAATCATTAATAGAAGTCTTTCCTAAGAGTATACAGTTTGGTTCCATTAACATTTTGGGTATAATCCTTTAAAGCGATAGAATGATTTGTTAGAGAAAATATTTTTTTTAGAAATAATGATAATATTTTTAGAGAAAATAGAGAAAAGTTTGAGGGTATATATACTTTTCTGAATACATCGTGATTAATTATAAAATGATCTTTATAAGCTATTAATTGGTGACACAAGATATGATATAATGATGTAAATGATATAAGCATAGTAAGAAAAAAAGTTATAAAATTAAATGATCGGCAAGCGAAAAAAAGTGATTCATACAATTTTATCGTTACTCAGATTGCATTCACGAGGTATTTATTAATTCTTCGGTTGTACAACAACAATTAGTAGCCAATAAAATTAATTTTAAATTATGTCATAAGGCGTTTTCTTTGATAGATTTTACGTATACAACTTTTTTTTCTTATTCCGACCCGTCATGCTATTTTCTCCGAGCATGAACCTATCGCAGTTTAAGAAGTGTTGACGAAAAAATTATTAAAGTCCGGACGAGACACTTCACAATTAAGGTATGAATGAAATATATTTTTTTCGGCTGTGACTGTGCATTTGCAAGGGAGTGATTCATAGCTTGTAAAGCTAATCTTTATTTTTTTGTTCAGAAATTTCGAGGACCTTATTAGGCGGGGAACATACTTTCGGTGAGTTTTACTAAGGCCAATATTGTTAATTTATTTCTGATGACTCTTCTATGCATAAACTAACGACCATTTTATTCTATCCAGAATATCGACGTTGAGACAAATGAAATTGGATTAGAGTTAATGTTGGGATATATTAGTATATAGATAGCTTAGATAGCTTAGATGAACGAAACACCGGCAGGCATTAGTATAGAAACACCGTTTCACTTTGTAAAACAAGTCTATGTATCATCGAGTCATGTAATTTTATTTTCTATATCAATAAATCAGTAATTTCGATGAGGATATCACCTTGTTTTTTTATCTATGCTAACGAACTTTTGAATTATCCCATCTCATATAAAAAGTTATTATCGAATATGCAATCCATCGATTTATTGAGAGAATTAAATTCCAAGCTCTTAGCTGAGATTGCCGAGCTTAGGAAGGTGAATGCTGAGCTTAAGGACAAGAATGCTGAGATCCCTGATCTTAAAAGGAAGTTTGCTGAGATTGAGTCCGAGAAAGTTGAGCTTAAGGCCAGGATTGCTGAGCTTCTAAGACAGGCTGTGGAAGAGAGTAAGAGACGTGATGTTGAGAATGCCGAACTCAAGGCCAGAATCGAGGAACAGAGAAAAATAAGACAGTTACCACTAAACTCGAGTCTAAGAATGCTGAGTTTAGAGATAGAATTACGAAAGTGGAACAGAGGCAAATGCTAAATGATACTTCCTCTAATAACAGTTTACCTAACTTCAATTTGGTTGCAGATCAGTTATCCATGGCAACACATCATGAGAAACCGTTAGTGGATAAGAAAATGGATACTTCATTACCTGAAGAACTGATTCCAGAGGTGATTGCAAAGCAATCGGTATCAGCTGTTAATATATCCGTTATGGACCAATGTGATCAGAAGACCTTAGAAAATAAAGAAACAAATGCTTTCTTGGATGAAGTGCATAAAAAAAAGATTAGTGATGAGATTAGACAACGCAATAGGGGAAAGAAACTTCAAAGCCAGAAAACAAAGTATTCTATTTATCTTTTTCTGAGCAATGTGAAGAAAAAGGGCCTATCACCTTCGAAGCAAAACCTGATTCAGAGTTAATTATCAAATCCGTGTTAAAGCATTTCACATACTTGAAATTCCGAAATAATTTTAGAGGGATTGATAATTATAATTTTGCATTTGCTTAGCCGTGGAATTCACCATGTCCTATTTGCGATGGAAAACATGGGAATTATGGATTACATGGTGAATGGTATAGGAATGGAACGGAATATTGTCTTACCTGCAACACTTCAAGCAATAAATTCAAGTTCGCAATTGTAGCATAGACTTCATAATGTGGACCGAATATAAGTAATTGCGTCACAGGCATAATCTGCCGGGAATTATCCATTCAATAATTATCAAGATCCCAACCTTTTACGGGATCGGCTAACGTATCCAAGAGTGCATTATGTTCTTTCGCCCCAAATGCATTAGACCTAGAGAATGCGTCGAATAATCTATTTTTTTCTTTCTCAGATATATTTGGAAGACGTCTGGTAAATTCCATGAGTACGATATTCTGATGATGAGCTTCCCGGGTTTGATAAAGTTTTTTCAAAGCATCTTCACCAAAACGTCTTTTATAATCCCATCCGGTATATGTTTTCCTAGGGTCCCAATAATTCTTTTGATCATCATCACTATCTTCTTCGTCGATGTCAGATTCGTTATTGTCGTCATCATCCATGTTGATGGGTGAAACTTCATTATCTAATAATCCCAAAGCCTCCAAGAATTCGTATATCTCAATCTTATCACCAGCACTAGTGTCAGAATGGGTTTGTTCCATGATGATAATATACCAAAATATCTTATCTTCAATTTAGGTTATTTACCTTCCCTCATCTATGTCCGCTCTGCGCTGTAGTAAATACCCAGTATCAGGCGAAAATATGTTACGTCACTAAACACATAATACTACTTCCTAACATCCACAGTGAATAAAAAAAAATCTTGCCAGAGATATTCTTGAAAATTTATATGTTTCCGCAGTGCTCTTATTTTTAGATCTAGATGTGCTATTTTTGTAATAATGGTTAATATATGCTATTTTTGTATTAATGGAGCTAAGATGCCATCGATCAATAAAAAATTATTCCGGTATATATCATGCGCAGTACTCCCATAATATGTCATTATTACACTTCTTCACAGTAACTACACATAGACTACCCCTGCGTACACTTCAAAAATGTCACGAAACGGCTGGCATTACGGCGTTATGCACTAACACGTGAAAATAAACAGTGATGAATAAGGGTGTGACGAATAAGTTTTTACCTACTCGAAAAAAACTAAGTCCCTCAGATACTTATAGAAAATGGAAACAAGGAAGGGTGTGACGCATGTGACAAAAAAACAGTCACGTGAATTTTCGTGACATTTTTGAAGGGTACGCAGGGGAAATCCTACACATATACTGTTTTGAGTGTCATATGATACCACTTGATCCTTACACATATGATATTGTGAGTGTCATACGATACTGTTCCCCTCTGGGCTCAGTGTCAAGTGATTCTCTACACATATGCCATTATGAGTGTCATATGATATTGCTCCCTCTGAGATCGGTGTCAAGTGATTCTCTACACATATGCCATTATAAGTGTCATATGATATTGCTCCCTCGAGGTTAGGTGTCAAGTGATTCTCTACATGTATACTGTTATGATTGTCATCCCTTTAGGCTAAGGATCCGTAAACATTCTTTCGATTTGAGCCAAAAATTTCGATTCGTTTAACCTAATGATATTGGCAAAATCATATGTTTAGTTAATTAATAGCCAATCGTTTTCTGATCACATGATAAAAATTATATCGATCTTTGAAAAAATAAATCAGATCATTTATTAAATATGTTCGGCTAATGCTTTCTATTACATATAAAAATAAAACAGATCATATATTAGAATCTATGTAAAATAAAAAACTATTGATAACTATAAGTTTTATTATTCAAATATATTATAAGCAGATATAATGTTAACAATTGTAAAATTTATTAGAGATTTATTAATATAATTCAACTTTTTGTAATATTAAACTAACTGTATGTTACTAAACATTTTTAATTTCGCATTATGAATAGAAAATTACTAAATGAACAACTTTATCTATATAAAAACACCAAATTTTACACTAATTTATTACTTTTACATACTATCCTTTATTATATCAAGTGTTTGACTACATCAACTCCGTCTGTTAGCTTCAGGTGTATGATATGTTCTTTAGTACTTATCAATATGTGTTCCTCACCCTCTAAGTAAGTCATGGCTCTTCCACTGCAGCCATACTTTTTTCTGAACTCACAAGACCAATAATATCTTTGGTTTATATTTTTTTCTTTTGTATACAAATATCCATATACATTGATTTTTGGATTACATTATTTATTTTAAGTATTTGTTTTAATACAAGTTAGTTTATTACATGCAGTATTATATTTATACACATTATATATAATTTATTGATTAGTATACTAAAAAAAATAAAGGTTGGGTTTATGAAATTAATAATTCTAATTTATGATGTAAAATTATACAAGATAATATTAAATTCAGTAAAATGTCCATTCAGAATATCAGGGTTCATGATATTGGAATTTGGGGTAAAATAATTCAGGATAAAAGAATTTGGGAAATTGGATGCTTCATATAATTCCAGAAATTGAGATTCGGGAAATTGGCATTCGGTAAAATAGAGTTTCAGGAAATGATCAATTTCTGGAAATAGGCATTCAGAAAATTGGATTCAGGAAAAGGTATATTCAGGAAAATGGTATTCAGAAAATGGTCCGACAAGGTTGAATTTATTAATTTTTATTTTTTATTAATTTTTATTAACAAATTATTACTAAAAATTTATATTTTTTTTAATGTTATTTCAAATAAAATATTACCTTTAATGTAATTTAAATATGTAAAATATGTAAAAATGTAAATTTTCTTCAATAAAATATGAATAAAGTTTTTTAAATACTAACATACTATAATTACAAAAATGTTAATTATGATAAACTTTAAATATTACACAAGATTAGTGCTCCCACCGGGTCGGGTTTGGAGAAAATATTTGACCTGACCTAAATAAAAAGACCATAAGTGATTGGGCCACATATTTTTTATAACCCGACCTTAACTCGACCAAAGTACAGTTAACTCGAATAAGCCCAATAGATCTACAAAAGATCAAGTAGATCCCAAACTCAAATTTTATTAATCAGCTTAAAAGCCTACATGATAAGGTTAGCAATTAATACTAATTAAACTAATATTAATATTTAATAAAGAAATTATTAGTTAAATTTACTAATAAAAAAAAACTATTTTTTTTACTATTTTACTATTAACCAACTACTAGGTTAATTCCGACCAATATTATAATTTAGGGTCAAAACCCAGATCAAGGAAATATATGACCCGACCCATCAGGTCGGGTCATGCGAGTCATGGGCCGACCCGATCTAATAGTCAGGTCAAATTAACCCAGGTTGATTTGTATCCTTCGGAGCACAAATTGAAAGCCAATCAAAACTCAGATGCCACATCACAGGTCATATGTACTGAGATAGCTCTGATCATTTATTTGAAAAACATAAAAACTACTGTGTATAACTATAAAATTTTTCTGATGGTCCAACAGACCAACCCCATCTTAAGCTTCTTTTTTATATTTTATCTAATTTTTATTATTTTTATTTATTCAGTTTATTATGAGTGATCAGTGATAATTAATACTTAAAATATATAGATTACAGACAAATTTAATTTTAAACAATCTAATGTAGTGGTTCTGTATAATCACTACTTTGGATGTAACTGATAATTTTCTTGTTTTAACAAAGAAAAATCAAAAAAGTGATATTAAAAACCACCTTTGCCACTCTAAGTAGACTTGCAAAGTAGCTAAAGATACATCTAATTAATGACTTTTATAAGTTATATATTATGTATTAAGAAAACTTTTTTTGTTTTTGTGATTTTTGCTGTGCAACAATAAGGCTTGATACATTCCAGATATTCCGAATGTGCAAAATTTGTTTGTCATTTATTTATTTATTTTATGTCAAGCAGGAAGCAGTTGTTGTAAACTACAATACAATCAAAGAAAATATAGCGCTACAATAGGACGGTTAGCATCCAAACTAATGTCCAGATCCTCAGTTGTAGAATAAGGAACCCTCCTGTCCAGTAATACTTCCATTAAAGGACAACTAAAAGACAAACGAACAGAAACTAAAACTAATTCCACAAATAGGGAGTAACTATACTATAAGATGTAGGTGACTAAACATAAAATAAGAGTTGTCTACGTTCTATTTTATTAAGATTGTTTGTATGTGTCAACAATAACGCGTCGAGACGTGTATAAAATGGGCCACTATGTAAAAAATTGGAAGAAGAAAAAATTTTGTTTGTTACTTGTTATCTTGTACAATAACCTACTAATGTAACCTGTGTAACCATTTCCTTGATCCGGTGGTGTTCTAAGAGCATCCCTGTTTCTTCAGTTCGTCTTCCCACCAAGGTGACATCGCCTTCGTAGTGGTTTAGTTTTCAGTTTTCTAATTGCAGTTTTAGAATCTTTGTAATTTGTACTGTTAGTATCTTGTTCACTTTGTGCAATAAAAATAAAAAAAATGTAACCCATTTCTTCAATTTTATTGAAGGACAAAATTACCTTTTTTTAGATATTAGAAATTTGGCTGAAATTAAGTTTAATCTTATTTATGGCATATATATTTATGAAATCACAGCATCAAATTAAATTATGGCATTATAGCATTACATTTATGATTTACAGCATTTAATTATAGTGTTATGGCATGTGCTGTAATCATAAAAATAATTCTGACAGCACCTATACATTCCACAAAAGAAGGATGTAATACCTATCGCCTAATACAACTAACTAACCAGATTTTAAATCAACATTTAACAATACTTTTAACAATAATGATGATAATGATGGTGAACTATTTTTTAGAATTTCTACCTCAAATTAAACTTCAGAAATATTTAAAAAGCATGACTTATCAGTTTCAGAATCTTCAGAATCTTCAGTTGCTTTGTCAGAAAATTCAGATTCCACAAAATAAGAAAAAAGAAAAAAAGAAGAAAACATCCACAAATGACGTCAACAAAGATTAAATATGATACAAATACAGATAAAAATTTCTCGCAAACTGATGCCTTAAAACCACCTTCAATACAATTACTATAATCCTAATATTCCACCATCAACATATTATAATCCACCCTATTATCATCCACTTCCACATGATTTTAACCTCATAAACCTCTCCTACTCTAAATAAAGAAAGTAATTCTATATTTGAAGCCACTAACAAATCTAGTTCTTTAAAAATAAAAGGGTTGTCCAATTTAATTTACCAGAAAAGGATTTAGAACAAATAAGAATAACAATGCAAATGAATTCTTAGATAATAATAAGAGTACCTGTAGTAAAAGAAAAACTAAAAACATAAAAAGCAATAAAAATTCTGAAAAACAACCTCCTCTTAGAAAGAGTCCACAAAAGAAAGGTGGGATCTTAGATATTGCAGTAAACAAAATTATATAGAAATCAATGATGATGATGTCATGATGTCTCACAAAAGTCTGATAGTTTTATGAACATGGCGTCAGATTATTATACTCAAAATGAATTAAATATACTTAATTTTTTTTTATTTTTTTTATTTAAGATATATTTTTATTACAAAGGTATAAATGTTAAGTCCTATATATGTTTATTGCTCCGTTATTTCTGTAAAAACTCCGTAAAAATGAGCCTTTCACGGATCTATTTGCGGAAAATGTAATAATTCGATAAATTCCATGATATAAGGTTATTGATTCCGGAAATATGAGCCTTTTACGAATATAAAAACGGAACAACTTTTTTTACAGCGCAAGTCAAAATAGTAAAATTTTATAATAAGATTTCAATAGCAATGTTACAGAAATGCTAATTTTCTTATTTTACCACTTTAATAAAAATATATATATTTAAATTCAATAAACCATTATTCTAAAATATTAAAACAAAACTTTTTAATAAATTTAATAATCTTTACTAAATCTTGCATCAGCATTTACACTAACCCAACTCCTTATTTACAATTTTTAGATATAAATTAATTTGTATAATTGTTTTTTAAAATAAATGATATTTATGATCTTGTTCTTTTTTTTGAATTTTTTTTGTTTGATCGAAATACAATAACAATACACTCGTTGGTACAATGTCATATTATTTTTAAAATAAAATAAAAATATAATCTTACGTGATAATTTATTACATGTCATAAATAAATTATTTAAATTACAAACTAAGAAGTGAAGTATGGAAGATGTCTTATTTTACTACTATAATCTTAGTGTTTTAAACAATTTACTGTATAATACGATAGTAACAAAAGAAAAAAAATTATGAACGTATATGATTATCAGAAATCTCTTGAATTAAATTTGACATCTATAAAATAGTTTATTTATAAAAATTTTTCTTCGAATCAATTATATCGCTTACTAGAGCAGGATCCCAAAAAATATAGGTCAGGCGCAAACAAAACTTTACTAGCTGTACCATTTTTCAGTGATAATTTCAGTCAGTATCTAAAAAAGGTAATGAAATTTCCACCCGCATTATCTAAAAAGGAAAGATTTACATGATTTTTTTTTCTCCGTTTTCGTATGTACAGTACTGTATATAATTGATATGATATTTCAGGGCTACAAATTTAGTATTTTTATGGCGTATAATACGTTTCCAAATTTACTGGAAATCAAATTTTTGGATATCTGGATAGATAGTCTCAATAGATAAATAAATAATAGTTGATAAAAAATTATCTTGTTGGACCAATTATCTGATAAAAAAATTTGTTTTTTAGCCGTTTAAAATCGTTATACACTGTAAAAAAAAAATATTTATTTGTTAAAATCATCACTTATTTTGTTATTTAATAAAATATAAGTCTCATTTTCGAAATGAAATTATAAGGAAATCCACTGAAAAATAAAATATTGGATTTTAATTAAATATAAAAAACAATTAAAGTGTACGTGTTGCCTGTCACACAATCTAGGATTTTAATTCTGGCCGGTATAATTATAGATAAGTAGTAAGTATAGATAACTACTTTTTTTTAATACCATATAGTTACTATAAGCATAATAAAAGATTTTAAAATATAAAAAAACTTTCCTTTCGATCTCTTCACCAAATATTTCATAGTCAAAAAAATGACAGTCATATGAAAATATTACAAATTTGAGTCTCTTTATTATAACCAAGGTTTGCCATTTTTCATTATGGATTAGAGAAATATTGACCAAAGATGTTTCACACAAATAGTTGAAATATTTTTGGAAAAATGATAAACCCAAGCTTTCTTTCAATAAAAAGATCAACAAGAGTGTTAAATGTCGGTACGATAGTGTTCTATTCAACTTTTATGGAGTAAAGATGACGGTTATATGACTTAAAGTTTTTTGATAAGGAGAAACTTTCAACCTTTGGAGACGGCTGCGGTGGCGAAGTAAGGATGACATAAAAGAAAGTTGTGATGATTGTTGTGGAACGGAAACAGCAGATTTTGTGCACCATGCAGATCCTTAGATCAAGAATGATAAGAACGGAAAAATAATTTAATATTCTGAAAAAAATTCTATTGTCAATAGGAAGAATAAGAAGATTTTGATTTGTAACTGCGGAACTTTTCTGGATGTATGGCAATACTTATAGTTTTTAAATTATAAAACAAAAACATGGGAATTTTATCAGTATGTGGCGCTTGTAGTGCTTTTATTATTCGTCCTTTTACGTCTACATCGTTGAAAAGTATAGCATTTGCATAACTTGATGATCTTCAAAAAATAGAGAAATTAAGAAAAAAAAGATTTTAAACATAATTTGTATAATGATCACCTTTTTTTTTCTTTTGTGTACATTGATTTGCATGCATATCATAAATTTAGGTAGTACAATGTTGCTTTATGTAACATTCACTTTGGTTACACATTACTATTTTAATATGTATAACTTCGGAGCTAATCACCGGTTCCAACTTCCAACCCTTTCTTTTCTTTTATATAAAAATTAATAAACGTATTTATAAAAAAAAATTTAGCCTTACAGTATAACATATTTCATTATGTCATTGGGTGAAAATAAAATTTATAATGCAATTAATAGATCATATGCATTAATAGATTCAAGTATTCGTAACAATGTACACAAAGGTTATGAATTCCAAAAACAAACAATTCTTGATGATGAATTACTTACAGAAAATGAAAAATCTGAAGCAATAAGAATGCTAACTGAAAGTTATGATTATAGCAAACTTATTCTTAATGAAGGAACAAAAAGAATTTGTGAAAATTGCAACCAAGAATGTTTAGCTACAACATATTGTGAAATTTGTGTTCGAAATTATTTAAAAGTAAAATTTTCAAATTGGACATCTGGAAATGTTATTATTGATAATTTAATACAAGAATGTCAAATGAAGACAATTTATCCAAGACTAATACCAGAATGGATTCCATATAATAATCTACAAAATATTGAATACTTAACAAAAGGTGGATTTTCAGAAATTTATACGGCAATACGGATTAATGGGAATTTTGCTGAATGGGATTCTGAAGGGCAACAATTAAAGAGATTTGGAAGCCAAATTGTAGTACTTAAAAGATTAGAAAATGTTGAAAATGCAAATCAAAATTGGATTGAAGAGGTTTGTAATCTGAATATTAAAACAGTTGACAAATTAATTTGAAAATTTTATAATGGTTTATTTTATAGGCTAAATCACATTTAAATATAAGCAATAAATGGAGTGATATTGCCCAATGTTATGGATTAACACAAGATCCATCAAATAGAGATTATATGCTTGTAATGAATAAATTTTATATAGACTTAAGAAAATATTTACAACAAAATCATAAAAAACTTACATGGAAAGAAAGAATCCAAATTATTACTGATATAATAAGTGCACTTAGAAGGATTCACGATGAAAATGCAATTCATAGAGATTTGCATTCTGGAAATATATTATTTAAAGATAGATTTTTTATTAGTGATCTTGGATTTTGTGGACCTGCAGATAAACCATTAAAAAGTATATATGGAAATCTTCCTTATATGGCAACTGAGGTTATTATTGGAAAAGAACAGACTTTTAAATCCGATATTTATAGTATTGCAATGCTTATGTGGGAAGTTTCATCAGGACAACCACCATTTAATAATTATGAACATGATTATGATCTAGCAATGAATGTTGTTAATGGCATAAGACCAAAAATTGTACCAGGAACTCCTTCAGAATATAAAAATTTAATGAAGCAATGTTGGGATGCTGATCCATCAAAAAGACCTGATACTATTACACTTGAAAATAAAATTAAAGATATTAATTTATTTTATCAAAGTAAATCAAATGAATCATTAACCCAACTAGAAGAAAATAATAATTTTGATATGGAAAATTGTACCAGCAGTAGCAAACTATTTACAAGTAAACTTCATCAATTTGATAATCTTCCTGAACCAAGAAATGCGACAGAAGGTATTTATCGATTTATTAACCTTTTTGTTTAATTTCTTTAAAAGTGTATTAATATATTTAATTAATAATGTTTATTTTTTTATTTAAATAATAATAGAAGAACAAGAAGGTACAAATTAAATAAAATTTATAATTTTAATCTATAAATATTTATGGTAATAAGGGTTAATTTTTTTTTAAAGCATTTCATAGTAATAAATCTTATGTTTTTTATATTCCTAATAATAGTAAGTGCAATTACATTTATGTTAAATATTACTATATAATGAAGTGTTGTTTATTGACTTATTTTGCTTTTTTTAGTTGATGATTTTAATAAATCAAGTAGTAAGAAAAATAGTACTTCAAAAGTAAATAGCATATTTAAAGGTAATTGAATTACATTTTGTTTTAAAATAATCAAATAAATGAATAACTTATATTGATGATTATTTAGTTAGCAACAAAAAGTTATCCAATGTATTTAAAATAACCTCAAAAAATGGCAAGTAAAATAATTTAAATATGTTAATTTTATTACAATATTGAACATGATTTATTATTTAGATGATGATTATAAGGTTGAATCAATGCGAAAGCGAATAAAGAAACTTCATATTAATGATAATGGTATGATAAAACAATTATTTAAATTCTTAAAATAATTATTTGATTTTAAATTTTAATTTATATTTGATAGATGAAGTTGAAGCACATAATAATCCAAATCTTCATTCAGAAGAACAAGATGAATTGGAACTTCCTGAAAGTAAGAATTATTTTTTAAAATGTTTAAAATTTACCTCTTAAATTACCAAATTTAACGTAATATATTTTTTTTCTTTATTTTAGATATTTAAATACAGAAGAATTACAAATTAGATAACCGACATTATTACACCTGATTTTTTTTTCTTATCATAAATTATTTAAACACTATGACTTGATGAGATTTCTACAAGATTCTTAATTTGTAATTTGAATAGTTTATTTTTTTATTTTTTATTTTTTTTTTTATCTTTATGTTATTTATATTAGTAAAATATCATATGTGCAAACTGAATATGTTTTTATTAAATAAATTTTATATTTTTAAATGTCTATAACTTTTCATGCATCCACTATTGTGGATATGTGGTTAAAAAAAGGGAATACATACGTCATATATATCATATAATATATATTTAAAAAATTTCTTTTTTCTCGTTATCCTTTTTTTTTAAAATACTTTATTGATTAAACATGAGCAGATATTTTCATAATATAGTCCTTTATACAGATGTATAAATCAATTTAGTATATATTAAACAAGAAAATATAGTAACGTAATGTAACATAATATTGAAGAAATTAGAAAATGACGAAAAAAAAATGTTTGGCAATCTAAAGAATATGATTAATAAAAAAAAAACTACATTATCACACCACTTCTATTACCGATTACCCGATTACCACGAAAAAATTTTATTAATAAAATTTTTATATAATGATTATAATAGTATATGATATATATACAGACTTTTGATTTCTGATTTGATCTAAAATTAAAATAGGAATTAGATAAAGTGCTAAGTAAGGAAAACTTCGACCACAATAATATGAAAACAACTACATTTAACCGGGAAATTAACCGATGGGCAGAATTACATAATTCCAAGTCAAACCATTACCAGCATTAACGTTAATTCCTTACCGGTAACTTTACCCAGGTTCCTAATAATTTGTGCCTAGATATCCAAATGTTTTTATTTAAAAATATAATAATTTAATAACCTTTAAAAGTTAAATAAAATTTCGACTCTTATAGAAAAAAAATCTTACCACCAGGACGTTCCAATTCATTAGTTTGATAATTAGATTAAGCTTATCCATTTCATCTAAAAGTGGGTGTATATCAGGTCTTTTTGATGGACCAGCATTCCAGCTTTGTTTCATTAAATTTTTATATTCTAAAGGAGTTCCTTCAGGCTTAATATGAGGATGTCCGCCCTGTTGGACTAACTTATCAAAGTTAATTGTGTGTAACCCAATGATCGTAGGTACTACACGAGTCAATGTAGGTTTTATTTTAGAAAATCAAAGAGTTTTATTAAATTAGAAATTACATTATAATAAATTATAATGGAACGGTTATTTCCGGTATAAAATAATAAAATTTTTAATGATTATTGTTCAAACTAAGTAATAATTTTCATAAGGAAAATCTTAAAAAATTTTATTTACATTTGAAAAAATAATAATTTTTAGATTTTTATAAATAATTTTAAATTTCTAAATATTTTACTTCATTCTTGGATTAATTTTATTTTTATACATTGTATGTAACAGTAAGTTATCATAATATAAACTCTATAAATAATTCGATCAAAATTTATTTTATACAAAGCAATTTAGCAAAGAAATATAAGATATTAAATTTGATTAAAGCGAGTAATGAACGTTTCTTGCTTTTAAGTTTAATTATTATTTTTTTTTTTTTTTTTACAGGACAAATGTCTTGTATATTAACTAGTATGTAAATATTTTTATTTTCAGAAGGTTGTTATTATGAACTGAAACATTTGAGAAATAGATTCTTACTGTAATTAAGATCATTATTAATAAATTGATCGCGTATAGTCGTATACGACTTTTTAGGTAAATATTGTAGTTGACAATAAATAATCACAAACTTTTATGTATTGTACAAAAATTTTTATCATTTAAAAATTTTACCACAATGTGCGATTTAGTCATGCGCAAAAATTTTATAAATTTTGTTTTTTTGTCTATGCATAAGTTTGGAGAAAATCCAAAAGACGATTAAAAAAACATCAAAATATTTTGCATTGTAGAATATTCTGATGATAAACCAAAATTTATATACTACTAGATCAGTAAATAACTAATACGTGGCGACGTCGTGCCGTCGTGGCGTAATGTTGTGTAATGGTTGAAGCCCATCATTTAATATTTTTTTTTATGTTCAATCATATCATTTATAAAACCTTATAAATCCAAAACCATGGGAATTTTTAAGAAAAAAAAAACGAAAGGGGACTTTTAAAAATAAAAAAAAAAAAAGAAGAAATAAAAATACTGTATTTTTAGGAAAATTGATTAAGTATATTCTTTTATGAAAATTTTATGAATAATTTGACGTTGATACTCAATTATTTATCATTGTTATATTAATAGAATAATGAATAAATAAATATAAAAAAAAAAAGTTTGATCGCGACATGTTTGTTTATGATTTTCAAAATAATAAAAGAGTAAAAATATCCATAAATGTAATCTCGATTATAAATTATATTTGTTAACGATATTCCAAATTAAGTTCGTTAAAATGATTAATTCTAAAATATTTATTCTTTCTATTTTATTACGAAATAAATAAATATTACACCTTTGTTTATATTAAGGAAAAAAAGATGATTGATAGCGCCGGCCGACACTAATTGTAATTCCGACCAGCATTATAGTCTTTACGTTCTATGTGAAATTACATTTTAACTTTGATGATGTGCCTTTATAGTGAATAAATTAATTAATTAGAAATCATATAAACGTGAGATTGGATCAGAATGCGCCTTTACGAAGATTATGCATACTGATTGTATACGCATTATTTTTGCTGTCAATTTATCTATTTTTCTGGTACATTTCAATTTATAGTCTCATGAAAGCCATAAAGTCAAATTCCTTAATGAGCAATATGAGAGTGTAATTATTTTAGGTAATTTATAGCAAAACATATATATATATATTAAGATGGTATTAATATTCGGACCCTATGTATAGTACAATATAACAATACATTAAAGTTTATCATTTCATTCAAAAAAAAAACTTCTTTCAACCATGATCAAATTGTTATTTATGAATAACTAATATATAAAATAATAAACAAAATAAAATGAGATATAAATATAGTACATTTATATATAAACCTATACTAAAATATTGTTATGAATACTAACTAAAATCATTGAAGTAATAGGAATTAAAAAAAACATAATAATAATAATAATAAATTTAAAAAATAATAATATACATATAATTAACATTATTCATTGAATATCTATTGGTATAATATATTTATCTATTCAAGATTTTATATTTTAATTTCGAGTTAAAAATCGATTAAAACTTTTCCAAAAAGTTTTAGTGCTAAAAGTTTTAACTGAGATTTCACGTTTATTCATTAATTCCAAGAAAATTGGCATATATGTTTTTGCGAGTGATGAAGAATAATACTATTAAAAAAAAAAGAAAAAAAGAGTAATAATATAAAAATTAGAATCAAATATAAAACTATAAAAAAAAAACTTTTTTTAAAAAAAAATTATGCTTACTTCAAATTCTGAATTATGGAGTTGAACAAAATTATGTGCCAATATATGACAAAATATCATGAACCAATAAGTCATAGCATCAATTGTTGGTTTAGTTTTGCATTCTTGTTCGTGTAATTCAAGGTAAAATTTTAAATTAAAAAATAACGCTCCATCACGATTAAATGCAATTGAGTTTACACTATCATCATAAAATATACGAATGACTTTTGATGTAATTTCAAAAATATCTGCAAGATCTTTTATCATATTTATGAACTGGCTCAATGGAGCAGTACGTGATTGAGATAAGATTTCTGAATGATCAACCTCATTAGGAACGTAGAGTTCAATCTTTTGTAAGTTTCCAACACAGTGTATTGAATAACCTACAATTAAATAAATCAAAATTAACAAAAAAGAAAGATAATAAACATAATCAAATTAAAAAACAATATCGTATGTTACTTATTACCAGGCATTACGTCACAATAATTCACTTGGCTTTCGCTTATACAAGTTTTTGTGTTATGTTTTGTATTAGAACTTTTAATATTTCCTGAATTAGAATAACAAGATTTTATGGAATCTTGTAAAAAGTTTCTTAAATCTTGTGTATTTTCAGAAGTTATGGTAATTGGTTCCTTATTTTTAAGAGATTTGATCAAATTAATATCTTCATTATCATAATCTTGAGATTGCTCATCATTGTTCAGGAAAGAAAACTTAGGCAATTTAGGTTCGAATATTCCTATATTCGTTAAACTTGATAAAGGTGCGGATAAAACCGTGTTGAAATAAGAAATATCCTTCGAATTAAATGATGTCAAGATATGATTTGCTATTTGTTGTGAAACATCGATTAAATTAGAGTTAGGAGTAACATAAAGAATACATGAATTCTTGCTTTCTTGAAAAATATTGGTGGTAATATTATTTTTTTCATTTATAGTAATGGATCCTAACTTATAACTTGTTTCCATATATTCGATCTCTCTAACTTTTAGTTTTTTAAGCCATTTTTCATTGTACTTAAATACTTCTTTCGGGTGGTTAAGATAGAACAAGCTCGCTCGTTCATTAATTATTTTTTGTAATTGTTGAGAATACCGAGTTTTTTGAATTGGACCAGTTGGAATCACGGATTTTAGTACAGAATTATGCAACGATTTACTTCCCAATTTCTAATTTTTTTTTTAAAAAAAAAGAAAAAAAAAGAATATGAAATAATCCTTTATTAAAGGTTAAAAAAAATTTTAATATACATACCATATATAAAGGTTCCAATTTTTTAGGAGCTAATAATGGATCAAAAGCTTGCTGATATATTTTATTATCATTTACGTAAATTTCTTTCGCTGATGCCAGATAATAATTATTCTTCTCTTCGCTATTAAGACCAAGTTTATTAGCAATTAAAACATCGAGTTCATTCATTTTTCCTGGGGTTATTTCATCAAGATCATCGTTAATTTTTTTCAAAATGTTCAGGTATTCTTTTACATCATCCTTATATAAATGCCACAATTCATGTGAAAAATTAACTAACAAATTAACAAAATCTTGTGAGGATGGCTCATTTTTAACACCACACTTGGCTAAAAAATCATTAGCTTTTTTTCCAAAATCAATACTGACAAAGAAATTATTTAAGCTAAAAAAAAAAAAAAAATATGCATTTATTTTATTATTTTTTAGAACATGCTTAACAAAATGTTTATTAAAAAAAAGTTAAGAATACGTACCAATCCTTTAGTTCAAAGAAACAGTCACGTGGCCTGATAAGTTTGTTAATAAATTCATCAGGACGAATTTCATATTGAATTGGAATAAATTCGAAATCTTCAAGCTTCTTCCAATCAGAATCAGTGAAACTTCCTTTTTGTGTATATAAATATTCAAAAATTTTTTTTGCTTTATTTTCATCTTTTGGTGGATTCTCAGTTAACCTCTTTAAAAGATTTGTATGATAAGGATTTTGACGAACACCAAAATCTTTTGCTTTGGAACGTAAATCTTCACGTATAATTTTGAATCCCAATATCTCGCATTCTTCATTAATAAAGCATTCCCAATACCTTGCATAATAATCAGAATTTGAGCAAGGTAAAAATGCAATATCGATTTCTTCTGGTTTATAATGTTGTGAATATTTACTATGAAAGCAATTAGCAAAGTACTTGAGGGACATTTCTCGAATTTCAGGATAAATTGGATTTGTTATCAGGTTGAGAATTGTTCCAAGGTCGGGATCAATTCTTCTTAAAATTTCCAAATAATTGTCTAAATATAAATTCCACAATTCATGTGATGAATCAATTGATATTTCGGCAAAATCAGCTGAGGATGGTTCTTTAGCACCACATTTGGCCAAAAATTCATTGGCCTTTGTTCCAAAATCAACATATGGAAAGAAATTATTCAAGCTAAAAAAAACAAAAAAAACAAAAAATAATTTTCTTTTAAAAAAAACAAAAAATATTCATTAAAAAAAGATTTGTGTTCAAAAAGTACATACCTTTCTTCTTTAAGTTTAAGGAAACAGTCACGTGGTTTTAAAAGCTCGTCAGTAATTACGTCATGTTGACTTTCAACTCGAATTGGAATAATGTTGGAATTATTGAGAGTCTTCCAATCGGCATCAGTAAAAAGTTCTTTTTTTGCATTCAAATATTCAAAAACTTCTTTTGCCTTACTTTCAGTTTTTGGTGGATTCTCAGTTAACATCTTTATGAATTCTTCACGATTAGGTTGTTGACGAACACCAAGTTTTTTCGCTTCAGGAATTAAATCTTTACGTATAATTTGGAAATCCATTATCATGCACTTATCATTAGTAAAGCACTCCGAAGGCGTTGCGTAAGTGTTGGAATTTGAGCAAGGCAAAAATGCAATATCGATATTTTCCGGTACGTAAAATACTTCAGAATATTTATCAAATTTATCAATAAAATATTGGAGAGCCAATTCCCGAATTTCAGGATTAGTTGGAGGCGCTGCCAGTCTGAGAATTGTATCGAGTTTGGGATATTCTTGCAAACCCAAACTGATTAAAAATTTTCCTATAAATTTGGATTAATTAAATATATATATAACTTGATAAATTAACAAACAAATTAAATGAATGAATATACCTTCGATTGATTTATTAGACCATCCTACTTTCCAATCAATTATAGGTAAACCAAGCTCACGGTATAATCTTGAAGGTATATGTAAGTCATTGGCGACAAAACGTTGAATTTTTCCATTTGACTGTGTACCTAATAAATTTTCTCTAGGCCAGATGGGATTATTCTTCAATTTATTCATATCGCTCTCCTTGAGATCATCAGATACTGAAGCAAGATATTGTAAGACTTGAATATAATCACAATCTTCTTGACTAACGAGTCGTTCAAGAATGAGTTTTAATTTTATAACCTATATAAGCAATTAATTATTAATATACTCTAAAATTATTAATGGTAAATTATAAAAAAATATCCTTGCCTTATGAACTCCAAAGTGTTCCATCAAAAGTTGAATACTCGATGTGAAGTTTTGAAACTTTATCGTTGGCAAGCTAGGAAATATATCAACCCCATGGAAATAAGTTTTTTTAGGAGCTTTCATTCCAAATTTAGTTGGTATGCATCTCTTTTTAACAAATAATTGTCGAATAGTTTCTTTATCTTGTGGTGAAATACTAGCCAAATTTTTTGCCAAAACATGGTGAACTTTTTCAGCAAATTCGGGATCTGATTCTAATTCAGGATGGTTAACAATAAACTTTGCCCAATCAACCAATGATAATTCGGTCCATTTCAAGCTGTTCTTAAGCTCATGATCAGTGAAATTTCTGGAAATATTATATGGTAAAACTTTAAATGGGATACTTATATCTAAGGGAATTTTGTCTGGATTCAAATAAAATTTAATCGCACTGAGAGTTTGAGAACTATCACCAATTCGTGCAAACTTCAAAAGCTGTGTGTCAAAGGTATTTCCTTTTGATAGATAAGAAATCCACCATTTCAAAAGTTTAATTATTTCATTTTCAGAAAATGCTCGACTTTTAAGTTCAACTAGAATATCTTTAAAGCCTAACTCTTCTATTAGTTTTGTATCTTTAGCTTTAGCAAAAAATGTGTTACATTGTTCCAACAAATTTTCTGGAACGAGTGGGACTGTCTTTATGAATTCTACCATTTCCGGATTAGGTAAGCGAACATCAGATATTGGAAGGATACCGTTTGTTGATAAAATAAGCATGTTCTGCTTCAAGCAATTTGAAAATTGGGTTTCTGCTATTGTGCTAACTTGCGTATTCGGAGTACTTGTATTGTATGTAAAATGTGATATAGCGTATACTGCCCATTTTTCCAGCCATTCACGGTAGGGAGGTGCTGATTGCACGATTGGCGTGCGATTACTGGATTTAAAACGTTTTACAAGCCATTTATATAACGACTTTTTCTTGGATGCACGCTTTTTAGGGCGGTTCGTTTCTTCATTATCTTCAACATCTAAACTGATATTCCCATTATATTGATGCAACATTTGAACCATTTCATTTTCGTATAAAATTCTGCTCAATGTCCCTGCTAGACATAACATTTCATTGTTATATTCTGCTAATGTTGGTTCAGCAAAATCAATCAACTCTCGTTCCATCTAGAAGGATATATATGTAATAATTATATTAATAAGATAATGATATCAATAATAAAATATTATATAATAAGTTAAAATATACTTACAGTAGGAATTACACGAGCTGCCAAATGAGAACAAGAACCGGTTGTTTGATTAGTTGGGAAACCAATATATACTTTTCCTTGTTCAGGATATGAAATTAAATCTTTATATATAGGAGAAAGATTTTTGATATAATCTATAGGTGAATCAAGCTCGTTAAATTCAGTAAAAATCATTTGGATGGAAGTTTTATTTGGTGATTTTTTCTTAGTAACGCGTTCCATTTTTGTAGAAAATTCATCGTTAACATTAACATCCAAATGACCATTTGCAATTCTAAATACAATAGTCGATACTTCCTTTTGATACATATTTGAACGCAATTGTTTTATATTAATTTTCGTTGGTATAAGTAATCTCATAACGTCTAGTTTAACTCTTCTAAAATCTACTGATGTAAGATGAAACATTTTTTTTGGAGAAAATGTGTTAAAACCAGATGCAATATCTATAAGTTTAGGCTTGTGCACTTTCTTTGATAGTTGTGCTATTAATGTATCGTCAATATACAATGAAACGTCTTGAAGATTTTCTGTAGATCCCTATTATTGTAAAAAAAAAAACGAAGGAATATAATATTAATTATAAAGATTAAAATAGCGAACTTTATATAAATAAACTAACCAATGAATTAACCAAGAACCGAGTGAATTCCTCAATATTTGGTATCTAATTAACGAGAAAAAAAGGAGCGTCAAGGTACGAATATAATGACACGTATATAATTTGATCAAGAAATATTTACATCTAAAGGTTCTCTAGTGTCCATAAAAAATGTTGTCCAATCTTTATCATCATCATCAGTTGGTCCTTGTTTCGTATACAACTGATTTCCGCGCCAATAGAAAGCCATTCCTTGTCCGCCGGAAGAAACACTATGTGAATACGTATATAGATTAATAAATAGTTCGTTTTGAGTAAGAAAAAAAAAAATAATTAAAGCCTTTATAATTACTTACAATGGAGTTTCAGTAACAGAAAATACTGAATAAAATCCTACGCCAAAAGCGCCTATCTATTAATGGCATAAAAAGAAATGTTACACGATGATTTTAACTTTAAAAAAAATGATGAAATTATTTTTAAGATTTCTTCCTTACCTTTTGCTCATCAGGATTTCCTTCGGCAATTTTCACTAATCGATTCCAATCTTCAGCTCTAAAAATGAATCCATTATTTTTGAATATTATTTTTGTGATTTTATTACCATCTGTTTCAAATAAAATTTTAACGCTTGAAGATTCCGCATCATCTTTAATTAAATATATAAAATGATAATTAAATCTTTTGTTATAAAATTATAGGTTAAATATATATAAGAAGGTATAAAATAAAAATTTTACCAGAATTTTGCATTAACTCTCGAAATATTACAAATTTACAAGAGTATCTAAAGAATAAAAAAAATTATAAATATATATATTTTTTAATAAACAATAATGAACACATCATAGTTAACGACATACCTAGCTAAAATTTTATAAATTAAATCTCTTTGATTGACTTCGACACGTCCCTCACTAGAGTTTGAAAGGATGTGATTTCTAACACTGTCCAAAGACATTATGAAATATTATGATAAATATTAAAAGATGAAATTAACGTTAAGGAAATGAATTTTTTTTAAAAAAGAAACATCTAAACTGGTTGATATTTATTGATCATTGATAATCATTATTGAACTTTATATAGTAAACTGAATAAATCCTATATTGTTATTTGTAATAATCTTTACTGTTAAATAATGAATAAATAGACAGGTTTCTAGAATATGTATCTTCGATGTGGAAAACTGCTATTTATAAATCGATGATCTAATGATCTACTGTACCATGTTCTGAACTTGTATTTTACACGTGTTAAAATTCTATTATAATCTACATTCTACAGGTGATACAAGATATTATTATTGTTTAAACAGTTCTAGTAAACTAAAAAAGTTTTTGGTGTTTATTTTGGCAATCATTTATGAGAAGTTTATAACCATTAATTAATTTTTCCATATCCGAGAACGGAGAACGGTCCAGATATTATTTTATTTATTTGGTTTAATAAATATGTAAAAATCGTATTTTTTTTTTAATTTTTTTTTTAAGAATCCATTAATATATCGAATGTTTCATGATTTATACTTTAATAATATATATACAATAATAATAAAATTATCAGTGTGGGCTGTGTGGTTTAGTTTGGCTTTGTAACCGTAATACTTCAATGACATTTATGCGTCGAGGCGTAAGATAATGAGTTTGTTTATCTGTCTAACCGATTGATCGACATAACATTTTAAAAATAAAAATGATTAACTCTATTTGGTTAGTTTCATATCATTTTATGGTATTTTTAATTTATATCATTTTGTGATATTTATAATTTATTTATTATTTTTTTTTTTAAACTTAAATTATGATATTTATAATTTAAACTATTTTAGGGTTTTAAAGGATGATTTTTTTTTGGACTAGACCGAATTAATCTAAACCCCACATTATTTAATCAAACGTAAAAATTCAAAATAATAATAAATAATACATCTAGTATTCTAGTCCAAGACTAATAAAGTTACAAAAGTAATGAAATTGACAAATTAAATATATTAAATATATTTAATATTATTATATAATATATATTATTATTTTTTAATTTAATTAATATTCAGATAATTTATGCAAATTAAATGATATGAAAAAATAAAATGTGAACTTTAAAATATATATTGGCCTTGTTCATTTCTATCAGTTGTATTTTTTGGCGTATGACTGAAAAATAGGTCTTATGATAAAATAATTCTATACCGTAAGTCAATACATACATTTTGATATTGTTTCCATACAAGTTTCCTTTTGTGGACAGAATTTCTTTTTTAAAAATTTCATACGCATGGCACATTTTATTTTGATTGTTTTGCTCACTCCTTTAGTAATAGAATATTAAAACTGTTACACTTAATCAGTTACTCAGTATAATATTTAAAAATCAAACACCCTTTATACCATAATGTACCCCGTATTTATCTGTTGTGTTATGGTAAATCTTCATCTCTAGAAGACGAATAAAAGAATATTTCTGTTCCTAAAAAAATCTAGAAAAAGAATAAATACAATAAAAAAAATTTTCATTCTGACGATATTTTCGACGCTGCTGCACCTCCAATCAAGACTCATGACAATCAATTATTACGCAATCGGAATTATAAACTCCTTTTATTATGCAGCCAAATAGGATCACGCAGTCACGCAGTCAGAGTACAAACTATCGCATAAATATTTTTGACGCATTTACATCATTTGGATTAAATATCACATACACTACCCAGAAAAAAGTCAGTGAATATCCGTAAATTACAATAATCGTTACGAAAATTATCCTTCTATATAAAATTATGTCTTTTGTGTAATAAGTAAAGTTGATCATTTGTAATATTTTATGGTTTATTAAATGAATCAAGATTTTTAACGAAAAGTGAAAAGTATGTAAATAAAATTAATTATCAACGGAAATTTTTAAAATATTGAAATGTATCATCAAAATAAATGAAATAGTCTATAAGTTACACACATTTAACAAAGATGATTGGCTAAAGAACAAAATTGTGATCTTCGGGTTCTGGCCACAATATAAAAAGCTAGAAATAACAAGTTTTGATTATGTTTTTACACACCATTAAACTTCAATAAAAGTAATAAAAATATGAGCGTATTTTTTTTTTAATAATTTTTCCAAATTTTTCATACATACAGTAATTTAAATGTGTTTGCGCTATAACCTGTGTTGGTTGACTTTGAAAGTGCATCATTATTTTAATATTTGTCGATTTTTTTCATGAATTTTGAAAAAATTTCCTATAAATCCATTTCCTTTCGATGGAAAATTCTTTTTAATAATGATTGAAATATCGATATAAAATAATTATATGTAACCGAAATTATAAATTTGAAATTTTTTCTCGATAGATTTCTTAATTATAGTCACGAATATTTGAAAACTCCCAAATTTCTCACTATCTTTCAGATGATACAGCATAGAATTAAATTTTGAAAGTTTGAAAGAAATTTTTTTTTAATCAATTTCATATTTCAATCACGTAATGCAAATTTTATACTTCATGTTTAAATCGTAAATAGTATTTATAAATAGAGCATATAAATGTTGTGCCCGAAATCTCAATATGCCCCAAATTGACGATTAATCATCGATAATTACTATATGTCAAAAGTAATGCTAGAAAATTCTTAAGGCATTATAAAGGTGGGCCGAAAATTTAGGCCGGTCGTTGATTGTGGCTAACGTGGATCCGACTCTGAAAACAGACTTTGCACAGTTATGTATTTTTGGCATATAATAAATTCCCTTTATGTTTTTGCCTACTCTCCATCCAATAAATCAATCCTCAAATTCTTCGAAGCATCAGGTCCTAATACAGTCTACGAACACTTCTGTATCGGGTCGTAAAACATGACAGTTCCGAACGTCACACAAGAATCTAATATTCCAAAAAACCGAAGGTGAAGAAATTTCCACAAATTGAATCCTCCTAGAAAGCGTTATCGACCTTGAACAGCAATGGCTCATCTATTCACACGCCTAAAACTCTTCCCCAGGTCCAAATTCCAAAAATTCTTCACTTTAAAATGGTCGTTCATCTTCCATAATTCCATGTGATCGAAACTTTTTGGAACGAAAAATTTTCGACGGCGATCAATTCCAAAAAAAATCCATAATCAAATAATCCACGTGATAATTTTTGCGTCACTTTTGTATCAACTGGTAGTGAATTTACTAATTAAGGGGCGCAGTATTATATTTAAATTAAGTGTTGAAGTGTTTAACATTTACTGCGGTCCGGAATTGACCTTAAACTATCATGAATTATGGTGTTAGGGGTACTTGTATTGTTACTCGTTAGGGGATTAAGATGGTCAAGGGGATCAAAATGGTTAAGTATGACAACCAATTATTTTATCAGGAATTTAAAAATAGAAATAATTATTTTAATGGGGATATTTAAAGTAAGGGTAGATAGAATATAATTATTATAAATATACCTTAAATCAGACCTACTTGAACATAAGAATTTTTACCCTTTAATTTTCGATTCTTTTTGCCTTTTTCTTATGATGAAAAAGTGCCTCATTAATTATTTTAATTAATGATTTATTGGGATTAGTGACAATAAGGGGAAACTATCGAAGTTTTATTATAGAAATATTAGTTATAGGGTTTCAGCTTCAATTTTTTCACTTAAGATCTGCGAGAATATTAAAAAAATTAAAAAAATTAAAAATTTAATAAAGAACATGAAAAAGCTTAAATATTATTGTGTTTATAATTTATTTATTTAAAGATTAATGCATATAAATAATGACATGCTAGTATAACAAATAAAAATATTTATTTAAATTTTTATTTTCATATTTTAAAGAGCGAGCGCCATTGCATAGGACTTCAAGGGATTGAAAGTGTATGGCGAGGCTGGTAAAAAGTATGTATGTATGATTTTTTTTTCACAATTTTTCTATATTTAGCAATCAAAGTAGTACGATTTAAAATCATACGTACTAACAAAAAACGCAAACTACATACTATATTACAATACTAAGAGTTTGCCACATCAAACTACAGTACAAAAGTAATTCTTTATTATTAGGAATAAAATTATAACATTTCCCGAGTTTCTTAATGAAAATAAAAATAAATATGAAAATGAAAAATTCAAGAAAGAAAAGAATTTTTAAGTCTATTATTTCACTAAACTTCACGTAATATATTTAAAGAAACTAAAGAACCAATTAAAATAATAATTCCCGCAAAATAAAAGTAAATAAATTATAATTGGTATTTTTGATCCCCTAAATAAAATCAGTCAGCCAATAGTTTAAGGTCATTGCATCAAAATTATCAACGGTTGATCAATTGATTAAATTTCCGAAAATTCCAAAAATCCGTACCGTACTTGTCCTATATACAGTATACTATATATATTATAGAGCCAATACTTTTTATATGACATTTCCCACACTTTGATCCACTAACTCGAATACAAGAGGATCTCTTCTGGTCGAGCTGGTTTATCATTTAACTTTCATTTTCAAACAATGGCGCAGTAGAATTAATAGACCGCTTAACGATCTTAACGTGATTGAATTATTACACGGTACAAATAACAGTCGCCTAATATGTAATACTATTAAATATTTTAATAATGTAATTTATAATATACTATTTGATTTTTGATATTGTTATAATATGTGATAATACAGCAACAATTGATGAGCGGAGGTGAATATGGGGAACCTAAAAATTTGCGATTAATTGGATGATTTGGATCATCATCCATAATACAGGTTTTTACTAATTGAGAATTAACACAATTAAATCATAAATTTATTTTCATCAAATAGTAAAAGTCACCATTATTAAAAGTGTTTATTAATATTCCAATTTTGAGTAACATAATTCCGAAGTAAAATTAAAATATGAAAAAATAACTTATACCGTACCATTCCGAAATCAAACAACCCGTAAATAAGCAACCTGGCCCGCATTATGGTAATTTTGACCAGAATTATGACTAATTGGCCGGTTGTTTAATTTCGGAATGGTACGGTAAATGGTCTTTTTTTTTGTGATGAGATTGAACAAAATGATCAGTAATGTGGTGATATTATAAGAATGTCAGCCAAATCCCGGATGTGCATTTTCACATAATCTTTTCCAAGAGTTCTGGAATCAATTTAAGTCTTTAAGCCTATCCCGAAACCATAAAAAAAAAGAGAATGTTGGTAATATTCCCAAAAATAATTACTATCTTCACATTTTCTTTTTCCTGATTTTTATTCCAAAAAAAAATACGCATGTGAAATTTATTTACGCCTTGGCCAAATGCAGCGTGTGAAAAAGTCGATCGTAACACAACAATGTAACTTAATAAATACAACCGCAAGTTTTAAACCAGAATTTTTCAAAAAGAATTACTTATTAGGAACATAATTAATGATATGTCGGCACATTATTTAGCCGATTGTTTCCAAAAACGATTTCAATATTTCAATGCTCATTTATATACAGAATTTAAAATTATTTATCGTTTAAAATTTTTTAAATTTTTGTAAACGATTCTTATGGTACATGAATATTTTTATTTATTTATTATATGCTTTTTAATTAAAATTTTCTGCATTCCTAATAATATATCCAATAGTCACAATGTAAAATTAATTCGAATTATTCACAATAACAAATCAGTACTTTCTTTAATATAGTATTATAATTCTTTCTTTAGAAATTCAGGAAGACATGGATGAATCTTACATTCATAGCGATCCTTTAACGACGTCTTTACAGCAAGTTAAACATAATGAGATTTCTAGTGATTTAGCTGTTGATATTATTGGATTATATCGATTGTTGGACTTATGCAATGATGATGGTTCAAACGGCATTGGTAAATTTAGTTGTGAAATTAAAATGCTGGTACATTCTGTAAAGTAATATTAATTTTTCATTATGTTAAATTCTTGAAGTGGACAAGATAATTATCTCCAAGGAACAATTAAGGAAGCTATGCAATGATATGGTCCCGTCGAGTTTCAAATCTATTTCTGAAATTAATTATACGAAATTGAATTCAGTCTCATTTCGTCTTATTGGATGTTATGGAAATCGCAATTTAATCGCGAAGCTCTTGTTGAATAGAAATTTAATTAATCAACAAATGTAAATAAAGCGTATTTTTTTTATTTATTTATTATTATTATTATTTTGTTTTTTTTTTGGTAATAATGCTATGCCATTATATACGAAAATAATTAATCTATATTTTTTCTTACAGATATGATTTGCTTACAGTTACAGCATCAATTAATGATATAAATAAGCCTTCGTTACGTCCAGGAATTTACTTATTAAAAGTGAATTCTAATTTGGGTTTAATTATTCATTGGCCCGAAATTGAATGCTATGTAAATTCTTTAAGTGCTGCTTCTCAAATTAAGAGGAATATGGTTAATTTACACAGGTATCGTTTTTAAGTTTTTTTTTGCGTTAAAATTTAGGATTTATAATTAATTTCTCATTCTTAAATTTTTTTTTTTAGATACTTAACAAAACTTACCGATCACCAGATGTGTTTTATGAACGACAAAGATTTAGAAAACTTTGATTTTAATCTTGAGAATTCTGATACTAACACAGACGATGATGATGATACGGATGACGAATATGAAGTAAAAATATGCCAAGAAGAACAAGAAGATTTCAAGATTAATGATGGTTTTAAGGTTTGATTTTAAGATATTGCTAAATATCACCAGTAGTGACGGTCACCAGTGATTAATTTATGATGTAATGCCGGCCAGTGTTTTCTTATTAGATTTTTAATCCTGGCCAAAAGTACATCATAATGCTGGTATGGTGACCATCACCGCTGGTGAGCTTTAGCAATTTTCTTTATTTTATTTATTTCATTTAGATAAAAATTAAAAGCCAATAATTTATTTAATAATTTTTCATGATATAAAGGTGAATTTGTCTGATCAAATCAAGACCGAAATTAATAATCAAATAAAAGATGATATCCCATTACATCCAATAGGTTTGGTATTATAAAATTTTTTCATTGACTTAAATTGGGATTATCTTATTATTAAACTTGAGAAAACCTATCTTATTTAGTCGTGGAATCTACTACAAATCAATCATTTGTCACCCGACGACTGATAAAGAAAAATTCATTTGAGCCAAGCGCTTTATTCGTTTTTAAAGAAGAATTTCCAACCGATCTCAAAAATAAATTGAAAGATCATTATTTACGTATTGATCGTAAAAAAATGGATATGAAAGCATTAAGATTATTTATTAAATATGGATTAAAAATGGAAAATCTTTTAGATCCGTTGCAAGAAGCAATAACTGCTGCTAAAAAGCGAAATGATACGAGAAAGAATCGAGAATATGATGTTATAGTTGAGGATATCGAAATCATTAAACAAATGGCATCAATAAAACTACGTGCTTTTGAGAGGTGCATATATTGTATATATTGTTTAATATTTTTTTAAAAATTATTTACATTGTAATTAATTATGTTTTTCGTACTATTTATACTAGTTATTTTGGCAAATATATTGTGCAGGAAAATCCAATCCAAATAAATATAAACAATGAAGGTAAAACATATTATTAAATTAATCATTAAAAACTATTAATGATTAGTGCATCTTTAATTGTGTAGATCTTAAAAGAATCCAAGTAAAATATTCCGGAATAGAAAATCAAATTGAAGAAAAAATTAAAATCGATTCAAAAAAATGGAAAAAAATGAAAAAAAGATATAATTTAACATGTATCGTTATTAAAAATATGTTGGAAAAAATCAATGAAACAGAAAATAACGATGAAATGACAAAATCTGCAATAAAAACCTTTCAAGATATGTTTAATGATGAAATCAGCTCAAAGAAATTACTTGAAAAATATAAACAAAAAACACAACAATCGAAACTCAACTGGGTATCTGATGCAAAGCATTTGATATTCGGTGATTCTGACATCAAGAAGGCAAAACAAAAGACCAATGACAAGTCAGATGTAGAATTTATTCGAGAACTTGTAAATTTTAAATTATTTGAAGGGCATGATAATATTAAAGAAAATATTATAAATACTTTTATTAAAGAATACCATGAATGGAAAAAAGGAATTCCTAATAAACTTCAAGTAATTTTTCCAAATACTCAGCATAATAAACAACTAGAAGATAATTTGAGACGAGAATTTGAAAAAGAGAAGGAAGAAACCGAGAAATATATGTTTGAAAAGATATGTGATGAAATAGAAAATATAAATAAAGATGGGCAAGTATCTTAATATATATATATATTTTTTTAATTATTCCTTATTTACTAACAATTACGATATTATTCATTTGCAGTACTATGGTATTAAATGTATTAAGTGTAAAGGGTAAGTCATTTGTCTATTATTTATTTTATCCAAATAACTTTTTGATGGGTTAGAACTTTTTATTCTGAAATATAGAATCACTTTTCACGCCAAACTATGACATTAAAGCGATATATAATATTGAAGTGTTACAACCAAATAAGCTGCAGATAACTATTTATGAAGTATCATTAAAAGAAGACGATAAGTTACGGATTCAAGAAAATGAGTCTTATATTCCATATCCAACTCTTAGGAATCAATCTGGCACATCATTTCTCATTGATCCTCAAAAATATGATTTTAAGTAAGAAAATTGATAATTTTTATAACTTAATAAAGTTTTTTAGGAGAAATACTATCTAATATCATTTTTATAATTACAGAAAAATATCTCAGTTCGACAGTCGTAAATTTCTTCTCGTACTTTACAATAAAGAAAGGCTAAGAATTGAAATATTCTTTGATACTGCGCAACGATTAGCACATGATTTTAATTCTAGTAATTCTCGTTCGATCAAGACGTTGAATGCAGATGAAAATTTTCTTATTGCAATTAATGAGCCAAAAGGCTTGCTCGCTATATATAATACGAAAGAAGCTAAGGTATTTTAAAAATTTCCCTAGTTTTATTAATTTTTTTTTAATCGCACTTTATGGCTTAAAAATCATTTCCATTTCTTTTCTTTTCTTTCTTCTTTCTTTTTTTTAAAAAAATAGCTTAATGTATTTTCTTTTGACGACAGTCGTTCAAGGTTACATGGACGTAATGCGAATATTCAATTATTAAAATGGTATGATGAAAAAATACCGAACATTAAATATTTTCTATTCATCAAAGATACTGAGGAACTATGCTTTGTTGAGAATAGTGGACAAGCACGTATTTTTAAACTCGTAAATCTGCAATTCCGACCAGCAGTTTGTAATTTTCCGTATAATTTAGATTTAGTAAATGTTTTAAGTTCTCCGGATGGTTCTTGTATTATGGCATTTACGAAAGAAAAATTGAAAAATAAACCTGATGAAGATAATCCAATTATTTTTACTGGTAATAAAGAACAACACGGTTATAAAAATGATTTTAAAGAAATTAATCGTGTTTACGTTTATTTTTTCGAAAATTTTGGAGATTCTTTTAGTAAAGGTTTGCAATATAAAATTTTATGTTAAATTTAATAATAATATTTTTTTTTTCAGTTATTGATTTACCATTAAATTTTAACCTTGGAATTTCTTCAAATTTCCTGTATCGATAACCGACAAACCCATTTGATCTCACTCGATTTACAGAATGGATGCTTGAATTCTTTATTAGTCACAATTACTCTTGAAAAAACTCAATTTAATTTCCAGAAATGCACGCGGAAAAAAATCACTTACACTTCAGAGAACAAACCTAAATGATTTTATTAATACATATAAATTAATGTTTGAAAAATATCCAATAGATAGCTGTATCGATCCTAAACAAAATTGTCCTCTTAGTTTAAAAGTAGTTCTTGATACTAATGATAATAATATTAAAGAATACGACAAGAAATTTGAAAAATATTTGTTGTCTAATTCCTATGCAAATTGCTGTAACAAGAAATAATTTATTTCAACCACTTAAAGATGGATTATCTTCGGATGAAAATTATTTTATTGAAGATGGTCATCATGTAGATAATATAGCAAAAAACATATCATTTGGATGGTATGAGGGAATTTTCAAGCATTTTGGTTACAAAAAAGTAAAAGTTGTTTCGAGTATGGGTGAACAATCATGCGGGAAATCATTTATGTTTTTTTTTTTTTTTTTTTTT